TGTGTTTACAAGCAGCCCTGGCAGATAGGTCACACAGCCCTGCAACTGTGAGTGCATTTTTATGAATGAATGCTCAGCAATGTTTGGGCTGTGTCCAGGGGCGAAACTAGAAATCACAGGGCCCCATAGCAAAATTTTGTATGGGGCCCCGTGATTGCTAGTTATGCCACTTGCAGAGCCCACCGGAGAGTGACCCTGCAGAGCCCACCATAGATTCTCTATAGTGGGCTCTGCAGGGTCTGAGATCTCTTACCTGTCAGCGCTGTCCGCCTCTGTGGTCGCCGGGCCCCGCCTCCTCTTACATCACTGGCCCCACCTGCTCTTAGGTCGCTGGCCAGTGATGTAAGAGGAGGCGGGGTTGCTCTTAGGCGGGCCCCGCCTGCTCCTTCTTTCCGAACACCGCTCTCATCTGCCGCAGCGGCTGGCTGTCACTGACACAGCTCCGCAGTGGCTTTGAGGGGAGATGCGCCGCGGCCGCTGCTGAGCTGTGTCAGTGACAGCCAGCACCCTTACATGCCATAGCGGCCCTGGCCGGGCTCCACTGTGCCCGGGCCCCATAGCGGCCGCCTGGGTCGCTATGGCGATTGTTACGCCACTGGCTGTGTCATACACTGTACTGGCCACGACAGCACTGAGTTTTTATTCATAAAAGATCTTGTAAATACAAAGCCCGGCAGATAGATCATAGCCTGCAGCACATTTGTTATGAATGGCAGCGCTGGTCTCTAGAGTGGCTCCTGCTGCCATAGACCAGCACTGTCACTCGAAATTACGTCTCCTTGCTAGCAGCGTGGTTAGACAGAAGTGCTTAAACTGTCCGACCTTACTGCTTGGAAACGGCTGGACAGATTTGAATGGGATTTAGTGTTATATGCACTTGGTCCCCTAGCAGATGAAATAAAAAATGTAAAACATTTAGTGATACTTCTTCTTTAGTAGTAGGGTTGGGGACAATACTTATTGCCTATGCGATCTGTATCTAGTGGCCATAATGTGGTATTTACCAAATATTACATCTAACGCAAAAAGAAAATATACTAAGAATGATTTTGTTTTTTTCTTCCATTCACACTGAACAAGCATTGACAGCGATTTGCATGGGAATGGCTCTATGAATTGTTTATAAATAGACCCTACTTTATCAAATTGTTTATAAATAAAGTAGTTGCAAAGATAGGGACCGTTTTACTAACACATGTCTAAGTTACAAAACTGGGTTTTTTATTAAGGTTTCTTTTACATTCTTCATGAAGGGGTTAAAAATTGGATTTTGTCTCACGGGTTTAGTATTTTTGGAGTTTTCATTTATTTTGTGGATATGTTGCTTTTTATTTTATGTTGATAGGGCTTTTATGTTAGGCTAAACTGCTTTTTATGCAGCAAGGCTTCCCTTAGTAAAAGGGGATTTTTGTTTCAGGGAGAATTATCTTGGGGTTTTCATTTATTTTTGGGGTGTATGTTGATAGGGCCTTTGTTTAAACTGCTTTGTTTCTCTTTTCCTTTTCCCTCTAAAAAAAGTGGGTTTTTGTTACAGGGTTGACATTTTGGGGTTGTCTTAAATTTAATTTTTTTAATGCTGTAGCGCATTGCTGGCTGCCCTTTCTTTCCTGGTCATCCAGGCTGCATACCAAGACAAGGGTCTAGGTGGAATTTCAAGGTGATCCCCTCACTGTTACCCCCTTTTTTATTACATTTATTCTAAAATAAATCAAATTGGGGTGCTGCTGTTTGTAAGCCAAGCTAAATGTAAAAGACAAAAATCAATTCCACAGCCAAATATGCACTTCCAGTGTACTCTGTTGTTGACACTGTGCGTAAAAACTGTATTATTCCGTAACACCACATGCACCCCCAAGCATGTTATTTCAAGGATTTCGGTGTTTTCAATGTTCCCCTATAAGCTGTATGATATTATGTAATTTTTTTTTTTGCATTGGTACATGTCCCCTATGGTAGTGCCCAGCTCCCCATATCCTTTTTTTCAACAATAGCTTGCCTTTTAGCCTTGAACATGGCCAGAAAAAATAACAAGATTAATCTTTATATCTGGAGGTATCGGGTCTATTTGTTTCGTTCAGCCTGTGGGTTGAACGAAAAAAATAGATCAGTGTATGGCCAGCTTTGCAGTTTGTTTTCTTTAGAAAGCAATCATATCCTGAGTAGAAAAGCCTGTCCCCTACCAGCATGCTACAGAGAAGGACTCTTGCTCTCTGCATGGAAGCAGTGGTTCTCTGCAAATGTCTGACATGCCCCTGCTAAGTCAGAGCTAGAGCTCTCGACTTAACAAGGAACATGATTTTTGCTGACTCAGCAGGGGATGTGTTTGGGCCTCTGCAGAAAGACCTCTGCTTCCACACAGAGCTCTGCAGCATGCTGGCAGGGGACAGTCTTTTCTACTCAGGCTGTGGAAATAGGTTTTAAAGTACAACTTTACCCACAATTTCAAAATATACAGCAATAAAGGTATGGAAGTGGAAGCCTAATAATTGGTATTCATTGGGCAATATGCTGTACAAAAGGGGCTACATAAGGATTTTTGACAGTAGAAGCGTTTTTGTATTATCAGCATTTTAAGAGTTCCATCATAAGCACGCAAATGAATCACATAATGACTATGAATTTCACAGTCACAGGCTTGGGACTTAAATTATTTAAAGATAGCTAAATTAGGGGATGTTTTATACTTTATGCAAAGGGGCTACATAATTCTCTGCACAATTATTATGATTGTTTTGAAGTATTGAAAAACACATTTTGCATACTCTCTATTGTGGTGCTAGTTTGATATTTAAACCCCTATTGACTCTTCCGGTTGCTATGTTCATTGATGTAGCTACTGCAATACACAAAAGGGTTACACATTTCCCAGTTAAACCTCCCTGCCTCTAATCATGCACTGTTTGGGCTAATGGCGAAAACAAGGGCTTGGAAAGAAATGGATTTCTAGAAACGTACATCTCCTGTCTTGACAATAAAGAAGATCATAGTCATTAGGACATTTGTGGTGCTCTATACATCATTTTGATCACAAAATTGTGTAGCATGGAATCTATAGAACATATAAGACCATCCCCAATTCCATGTCTACCTAACAACTGAATTATTACTTTCTCAAACAACTCATCCCCACACAGCTACCAGCTTTTGTATAACTTGCCCCTCCCCTTTTAGATCATAAACTCTCATGTGCAGGGCCCTCCTAACCATTTTGTCTTGATTTGTGATGTAACTGTAATGTCTCCCTTATATTGTAAATAACTGTGCAAACTGTTGGGGCTATATAAAGTCTGTATTATAATAATAATAATAATAATCCCATAGGAATAGCCTCTGAAAGACTATTTAGAGGCACTGTTTAGTAAAACAACAGTCTAATATAAGGTAACCAGATCATAGTATTGAGGTTGAATAAAAACACAGGTCCATCAAGTTCAAGCTTTGTCAGTGTGTGTTTGTGCGTACGTGTGTACATCAGAATCCCTGTGTGCTCCAATCATGAAGAGTACCTATACCCCTGTGTATTATGGTCTCTGAGGAATGATTTTTGAATCATTCAATATTCTCTGCTGATACTACCACTGGAAGAGAGTACCAAAATGTAACCGCTCTAACTGAAAAGAAGCCCCTATGCCCTATGTGGTTAAATCTTTTCTCCACCAGTTTTAGGTGGTGGCCTCTAGTCTTTTTTTTTTTAGGGAGTTTACAGTTTACAGTTAAAAATGTATTGCTGATGTTGCCATCATCACTAAAGATTTTGTACATCAAAATCACGTCCCCTCGCCTCACTTCAAGTGTGAACAAGTTTAAATTTAGCAACCTTGTCTCATAGCTTTGGTCCTCCAGCCCCTTAATTAGTGTCTTTGCCCTTCTCTGGACTCTCTCTAGCTCAAGGATATCCTTTCTGTGGATTGGTGATCAAAACTGAACCGCATACTCAAGATGAGGCCGAACCAGCGATCTATAAAGTGGCAAAATTATTGCTTTAAGTACTATGCTTGTCGCACTCCTTACCGATATGTCCCTTATAGTGGGGGGTGCTCGCAGTGACCGCGGATGGCGCCGTGAATGTCAGCAATTGTAGAAATGTCACCAGCACACCAATCCTTTTAAGATAGCAAAAGCTTCATTTATTGAAGTTTTTTTGTCATATGACCAAACCAAAATTATTGCTTTGTCTCTAGAGTTCTATCATCTTAAGGTAAACCTGATATTAGAAAATTGTGTAGGCTGCCATTGCTGATCATCTACTGAAAATGCTAGTTCCCTACCTATCATGCTAAACCTTAGCTTCAATATTCTAACTCACTGAACCTGAACCATGCCAGTCAAATTATCTGTCTTTATTTGCTGCATATTTCTCTTGGGTCAGTTATGATGCTAGAGACAGTCAAGCAACTAGTAAATGCAGCAATGGAAATAACAGGCTTCCTTCATGACACAGGTCATTTAATAAGATACTATACATACAAAAAAAAAAACTGCACGCATACACACATTATTGTAAAGGTTACCCTTACTTAGTGAGGGACAATTAATTTTATCATTTTTAATACAACAAAAAATAATAGTTTCTCGACCTACAGAGCAGGGTAGTTCCACTAAACTCCAGCTGCAATATGAAGTAATTCATTAAACTTTCTTTATTGAAGAACTTTGTACAACATGCCAATCCAAACAAAATAATTTGACATGGGATTTACTATTTGAACTGCTTCTCGTTCTGTTACTATATTTATCCAGTAGAAGGAAATGCCCTACTATTTCCTTTTTTTCCCCAACATACCATAAAGATGGTGGAAGTATCATACAAGGTCAATTTATGTAACCAGCAAATGGAAAGAATATTCAGCAACTGTTTGTGAGGCTGCAGGATTATCCTGCTTTATCTGCATGTCCATGAACATCACTCATAATTTCTTCACAAATCCTTGGTGACTTCACAAAGAGAGAACAAACTGATGCAGTTATCTTGTCCTCTTCTGAGCCTTTCTGTATTTCATTCAAAACACCTTCCTAAGCCCCTGTTCACCTAGCATAGATGGAGCACTGATACCACAGTCCCTGGCTTCACAGAATCCTGGAACGCCTGCTTGGCCTTGAAACCCCTGCTGTCCTTGAGGACCAGTGTAGCCAGGAGGACCTTGGAGTCCAGGTATGCCATCCTTGGCAACTCCTGGGTATCCTGGATAGCCTATAGTAAGGAAAAGCAAATGGTTAAAAAATACAGGGATATTGCAGCCTAAAAGAGGAATCGGTGTAGAAACATGTCTCTGGAATCACTGCTTGTGCTATATTACAGGATATGTCAAAATGACGGAACTCATTGCTGAGGTACAGATGATGACATTTCCATAGTTACATTTTCCATACCATATACTGGCTAGCCTACAAGCCTTAGAAAAATAAATCTGTTCCCAAAGGTACATTTTCATAAATTTCTGAGAACACATTGCTGTACGACGTTAACAAATCACACTTTACTTTATAACGCAATTCCGATCCAACTTACATTACTTGAGCTGTAATAATGTTAGCTGAAGAATATTTTTAGGAATATATATTTTTCTTCAGGCAATAATATAATGTAAAAGGTATAGTTTATAATATGTGTTTTATAACACAGAGAGTAATGTACAAAAGAAAACCCAGAGCCAACTTGCATCTTCCACTGATAAAATTACAGTAAACTTAAACTTGATTGGCTGTTAAGGGCTACTGCTCTTTCCACATCATAAAAGATGTTTGCCCTTTCATACTACATATGTTTGCATGCAATATACTTAAAATATACTTCTGTCTTTATTATATATATATATATATATAA